CTGGTGTTCCGGTTCTGACTGGGATGAGGTCCTTCCTGCAGAGATTAAGGACAAATTCAACATTTGGCGGGAGGAACTTAATGATTTAACTGAAATATCGATACAGCGAAATTTCTTTGATGACGATCCAATGAATATAAGCCTTCACCTATTTTCGGACGCTAGTCCTAAAGCATATGGGGCCATCGCATATTTCAGATATTGTACGAGTGATTCTAAAATTAAAACTTCCTTTATCATGTCGAAATGCAGAGTTGCACCTTTAAGAGCAATCACGCTTCCTCGTTTAGAGTTAATGGGAGCACTCGTGGCTGCTCGAATGTATAAATATTTGAAAAAATTGTTTGGTGATTTAATTGAGGATGTTTATTTTTGGAGTGATTCCGAAATCGCCATTACTTGGATTAAAGGTTCGCCAAATAATTGGAAACCATTTATCGCCAATCGTGTTACAGAAATACAGAGTATATGCAACAAAAAATTGTGGAACCACTGCGAAGGAAAACAAAATCCTTCCGATTTACTAACTCGAGGAATTAGTGCTCAGTCACTATTAAGAATGATCTGTGGTGGCATGGGCCACACTGGTTACGTTTTCCTACTGAAAACTTTCCAAAACAAAAGAAATTAAACCAAATTCAGAATCGTTGGAGTTAAGAAAAAGTATTATTTTGACTGCACCTGTAATTAACAATGAATCCCCAATTTTGCATATAGAAAAATTCAGTTCTTTAGGAAAATTACTTCGAATTACTGCCTATGTATTTAGATTTATTGGGAGGCTTCGGAAAAGGTCTACAGAGAATGGACCTTTAAGTGCTTTTGAGATTAAAGCAGCTGAACATTATTGGGTAAAAATTACGCAACGAGAATCGTATCAAGCGGAAATAATTAAGTTATCAAATAAAAAATCAATTCTCGATTCTTCCATCTACTCCCTTAATCCAAGGCTTGATGAGGAGGGAATTCTTCGGTTGAAAGGTCGCATTCAATTTGCAGACTGTCACGAGAATTTAAAACATCCTATTCTATTACCCTCAAAATGCAAGTTTACCGAGTTGATCATCATGGACTCGCATGAAAGGGTATTCCATGCTGGAGTTAATTCGACACTAACTCAGATCAGAGACAAATATTGGATCATTAAGGGAAGACAGCGTGTTAAGACTATCATCAGCAAATGTGTGATATGCAAACGATATAGTGCTCGTCCTGGGGTACAGGATATCGCTCCACTTCCTCCAGACAGAATCCAAGAGTCGCCTCCATTTGCTGTGACCGGGTTGGACTTCGCCGGTCCATTTTTTACGAAAGACAGGCAAGGTAAAGTTTACATGCTGTTGTTAACGTGTGCGGTCACTCGTGCCTTACATATAGAGATAGTAACTGATCTCAGCACTGAAAGTTTTTTGCTAGCTTTCCGAAGATTTTTAGCTCGCCGAGGACTGTGTACCACCGTGTACTCCGATAATGCCAAGACTTTTAAAAGAGCTGATAAAGAACTAAAACATATTTTTAAAACTTTGAGTGACTCATCTGTGAAAGAATTATTTTCTGCTAGAGGCATAAATTGGAAATTTATTATTGAGAGGGGTCCATGGTGGGGAGGGTTTTTGGGAGCGTATGGTACGAACCATAAAATCCAGCTTGCGAAAAAATTATTGGTCGATCATCCCTTACTGTGAAAGAGCTTGAAACAGTGCTCATTGAAATCGAGGCAATGATTAATTGTAGACCAATTACCTACGTGTTTACCGATCCCAATGAACCTTCTCCACTAACACCCTCTCATTTTCTGGTTGGTAGACGATTGCTATCTCTGCCTGCTAATAAAATAACATCAAATAATTTGATTGGATCAAGAAATTCAATTATTAAACGATATAAATACCATCAAGATATTTTAAATCATTTTTGGAAGCGTTGGAGATCAGAGTATCTTTTTAATCTGAGATCTGCCAATATTTGTCCTCCACACTCTAACGCATCTCAGTTTAAAATCAACGATATTGTCTTGATTCATGACGACAAACATCCCAGAAATCTTTGGACAATAGGTAAAATTTTGGAATTAATGCCAGGCAGAGATGGTAAAATAAGATCTTGCATAATTAAAACACCTACTGGTACCTTAAAAAGGCCTATACAATTGTTATATAATATGGAACTTAACTAATGTTTGTATTTTGTATTTTTAGGTTTGATTCTCCTGACCTTGCTGATAGGTATCATTTAATGTTTTGTAAAATTTTTATGTGCTTATAATTATGTATGCATGTTTGTTATATTTAACCATTTCTCCAGGATTTATTGTCGAAATATTAATTGAATATTCTAGAATATATTATTGAAAGATGAACTCTCCACCGAGTTCAGGTGGGGAGTATTGTGTAATTTGAAGAAAAAGGCTAGAGGGCGCTGTTGCTCGCTTAGTTGTAAGAGAATAAAGTTTGTTCATGTCGAAGGCGGCGGCCTAAGAATACGCTCTGTATATAGTAATTAAAATATTGTTAAAAATGTAAAAGTGTTAAAATTTGTGAACCCACTGAACCACCATTATCTGACTTGGAGATGCACAAAATATTATTAGAACATATTCTTATTACATAAAAGTTCGATTTTAATTTACGTGATGGTTGCGTTTGATACATTGACACATTTAAAAATATTTAGCTTAAAATCGCTTAATTTAATTTTTTAATCACCTCTTTCAAAAATATTAAACCTGCTTCTTGTTTTTAATTTCAGTTTTGCGTACTTCGTGTTATTTTGATTGTTATCTTGTGTTCCTATATATTATTTTCTTTTATTTTCTTATATTGCTCTTACTGTATAAAAAATTCCTATGTTTAAAAAATATTACTGATTTTTAAAATATATTAAATAGTTTCAATATATTTTTCCTTTCATATTTACTTTATATGATTTCTTTCCTTGCTGTGTAATAGAGTTTTTTTTCTATAAACAATTATCAGTTTTACTGATAAATTATTTTTGTAATCGGTGGGATCTTGATAATGCCAGTCAACTGCCGTTGCATATTCAGTTATCGATACTTGATCCCCACTAGCCCCGTCTACAATTTCATCAATCCTCAAAAATGACCTTCTGAGGATTAATAAAATGCTTGATAACTGATACCTTCCTTGTTGGGAACATTTGGCCTAAAGCATTATGTGAATATGGCACAAAAAGTTAAGTGAATATGACACAAACTTAAGTGAATATGATACAAAAAATTAATAAACAAAAGCTTGACTTCATAACTGTTTTTCGGATTTGCTTAACGGCTTTAATAAATACCGTTATCGTAAAGAAATTAAAAAATAAAACTTGAAATTAATATAACTTCAAGTTATACTTCTTTTTCTAAACAACTTCTCAGGCAGCTATGGCTGGGCTGCTTGAGAAGTTTGGTACAGTACTGCTTATGTGCCATATACGCTTATGTGCTTATGTTACCGCTTACTGTGATCACAGTTCAAATCTTATCATTTGAATATTGTTATCTAATTGCCGTTTGCACGTTTCTATTCGAAAACATAGAAAATACATGGCTTATCGTGACCCAAAATTCCGCTACTAATATGATCAAAATGTTATTGGACACATTTTTTTAACTGAAGTTGAATCGACGAATAAATTCAAAATTGATAATAAAAACTGCCAAATTAGGAATCAAGTTAATAAACAGCTTGGTTTCGATTTTGGTCAACCGTTTCAAAGTAGAAAAAATAATAATCTAGTTTGACATAGATTTATCAATAACTCTATCAATTTCGACAGTAATGCTCTTCACACACGATGCTCTTTTTCAGGAGTAAAAACAAATTCACAAATTCTACAAACATTTTTACGCTTGCAATATTTTTTTTTCTGAACACAGCTACGCAAAACTAAGGTTGCTTTTTTTGCCTGGTTTTAAATTCTACATTGGCAAGTTCGCTTCCAATGAAAGATGCTCTCTGATTATTAAGATTACGGGTGTAGTATCGATCACAGAAGCGTTATATAATATACATATACGGAAACGTTATGAATAATTCATAAATCAACATATGCATTATAAGCAATTCACAAACAAACTTTTGTATTTTCATAATTAAAATGCTGTGTAAGTTCCTATTTATATGATTCTGGTTATATTTATATGAAATTATTTAGTCCATTGTTATTTTGAAGGATATTGTTTCTCATAATTTAATGGTGCTCTTCGACTATGTTATCAATATAGCCGTAGACAAACGTGATCACAATTAAGCGGTGTTTACTATAACATGTAAATTTATTTGTTCTTTGGATAGTTTTGCAAAATGTTTACTGGATTTAAAGTTATGGAATATATAAAAAAAGTACTAGTTTCATAGCAAGCATTATTTGTTTATTTCATTCCTGATTTTTTAAAAAATTTCTTACTAATCTACATTATAATTGGTGATTTTCATCTTAAAAACAGATAACCTTTGAATATACATTTTGCAGTTTGTAGTTAATGTCTAGAAAAAGTGGAATTTCCTACATGCATAGCTATTAATTTCGACTTGATATTGTTGTAAGAAATTCAAAACAACCCTCTCTTAGATACTCGACGTAATAATGGTCAACATGTATATGTAGTTAGGAGGTCTTGGGTTTTAATCTTGGCAAATGGCAGGGCAAGCGTCCAATTTGGAGAAAACTGTTTGATTTTACAATGGTGCTTGGACCAAATGTGACGTAAAATAACTCGTCACAGTCTTGATGTGGCCGACTAGATTAACCTTTCCTCTTCAGCCGCCTTATAAGTGTAAGAATGAAAAAAAATAAAGCCATTCTACCTAGATCAAATGGAAGATCTCGAGTTGCAATTCTTGATGAAGGTTGGTTAGTTTTCCAAGATTCCTAAAAAATTTCTAATGACTCTTACGCTTTAATGATAACGAAGTCTAAGTATCACAAATAATTATTTCAAGAGAAAAATAATAAAATATTATTGAATAATGCATAAAAATATAACTTACCGAAGTAAAATTCTCTGATTTTATAGCGTTCTTCTTGCAGCTTTCGTAAACAACTGTAGTTGGAGATGTGACCCAAAGGAATGACACAAGAGAACCAATAATCTCCCTTAAAGGAAGATTTAGATGTTTATTACATTGAAATTCACTTTCAAATAATATGACTGTACAGAACAAAAAGCAACATCATTTGTATTAGGCTTCAGAAAAATGACTCTTCGTTAAATTTTGTTTGGTATGAAAAAATTTTCAGTTTAGTTGAAACACAGCTAATACGATGATATAATGAAATAAAATTGTATTTTGAAAAGCAAACGTATTTTTTAAAATTTGAAGGAGTAATGCAACTTACATATCTTGCACGAATGCGGTCCCTGAATTTGATGTACCTGTTCCTTTCGATGGGTGTTGTAGGTGCCTCGATTTCTCCCTAAGCAAGAGCAAAAAGTAATTAATAATGAACACGAAACTAGAGATAAATTAAATTTTTTAATGGAAAGAAAAAAAGACTGAAAATAAAAGAAACTTGCCTTCAGCCAGGCATGTTCAAGACACTCATGCGCTGTCATACGCTTGCTAAAAAATAAAGAGAATACATAATTAGTTTCTCCAATAAATAAAAATAATAGATGATTCTAAAATAAATAATGGGTCAAGATGAGTTTATTTCAAAATGAACTTTATAATAGAGACACGATGGAAATTTTAAAATTCGTAGTTTGCCTTGCGGAAGACAAGACTTTATATCGAATATTTAATGAAGAATGGACAAGAAGTTAAATTAAGAGGTAAATATAGTCTATAACTTTGCCCATTGCTTAAAAATAATTATTTTTGTTCACTTCTGTAAACAAAATTCTGAATCTTTCACATTTTAGGATCTGAAATGATAAAAAACAATGCACGAGTCTAGATGTAGTATTTCAATGGATCAAAGCTCGGATGATGAAAATAAGCATTTCGAAAAGGAGGATGCTCAAAATTATTACTGTTCTACACGAAACTGAATTATTGAAATTAAAAAATTAAACAAAGTATTGCATTTGTAAATGAAAATTTAATCTACTGTTTAATCTACTTACTGAAAGTAAGTTTAAACTATACTTTCACTTGTAATTAAACTATCTACTGTTGTTCTTTTTTGCATTCGTTATTTTTCTTTAAAAAATAAATTATATGCAATAGAATGATTCTAAAATACTTTCATATATTAATCAGAATTGGGGAAGAGTTAAGAAATATTAATTGCTTTAAGTAGGTATTAATTTGGTAAAAAATGTAATTTATTGCGCGTTGAGAAATACTAACACAGAAAGTACAAAATCTAAAATGATTACATATTTTGTTAGTGAAACCATCCAGATATACAAAGTGGTTCAATTTACTTTAAAATTCGAAAATCTTTCGTGGTTTAGCTTAATTCTGCAGCCGAAACACCTTCTCACAAATTTTCATTCATCATTTAAATAACATTAAAATATTTTAATTAGTTTGAACTACAGATATTTTTATCCATAATTTCAATCATATTCAGGGAAAGCGTATTGTTATTAAGAAAAATATTTGTTACAAATTTACATAATGGGCAAAGTTATAGACTCAAGACTGTTATTTGAAATTTGAAGTATTTCTCATATTTATCTAATTTGCATTATCTATCTTCATTAATGTTTTTTACTTCCTTGTACGAAGTAAAAAGGAAGTATTGTAATCGCGAAAAGTTTCAGGCAGCATATTTCAACGAAAATATCCATTTTGACCGCTATCGAATGCAATTGAACGATGTTTTTGCGTGATATCTGTACGTAAGGACAGAATAAAATACTCTTTTTCTTCAAAAAAATTATAAAATTGCTTTAAAATTAATTCTGAAGAGAACTTTTCGTGGCGTCTGTACGAACGTATGTACGTACGTGCGTGCGTACGTACGTATCTCGCATAACTCAAAATCGAGTAGCTTCAGAACGTTGAAATTTTGTATATAGGACTGCTATAACATGTAGATGTGCACCTCGTATTTTGGTTGCAATCGGCCGCACCCAAACGTATATAAATATATTTATATATATATCCACTCTGTTAACCGGCTCAGTGATCTCAGTTTCTTTACTCTTATATGTTGGTAAATTGTACATTTTTTGCTTTAAAAATGATTGAATTATGTTGTTTTTATCTTCCGGTTAAAATTTTATGCCTTTAGTAAATCTGTGTGCAATATTTTTTAGAATTATCAGCAATTTTAAAGTTGTTTAATTGCCGCTAAGCCTTTTTTAATGGCGGCCATTGATGTTTACATTTGAAACAGGAGACTAGTAGATTTGTTGCCAATCTAGAGAAACTTAGCTTCCCAACAACAAAGATAACGCTTTCATTTATTATGTAAATCATGCTTAATGCTTTCTGGAATTTTTTCGAGGAAATAAGCGTTTAAGATTTACTTCGTGATTTTTAATATAGATATTTTGAGTTTTTATGTATTTTTGCCTTCTCGCGAAGTGAGAACTGAATTAATTAAATGAGAAATACTCAATCGTCTGTGAAAAACTGTTTCTTTTTGTTTTTTTGCTTAATTTCCTTTATATATTCCTTTATACATCATTCTAGCTTTATTATAGTATTTGAATAGAACATGTGGCAACGATTAGATAATTCTATTCTTTAAATGATATAAATTTTGTGCATTATGAGTTATAATATGAACGAAATATACAAGTTAACTGTTATATATTAACTTGGTTTCCGTTATAAAATTATTATATAAGTTAACTGTTATATAATTATTAATACTGTTAAGTGAATCTAGCGCCAGAGTGTCGCTATGGTAAACAAATACTAGAGTGAATTTTAAAGAATGCATTTATTCTATTGTGGTTTATGCGCTGTCCGCGAAGTAGATTTAATTCAATTCAATAAGTTTAAATGAAATGCAAGAAAAAATGCGTATAATTTAATATTCCAATACAAGGAAGTCATGTGGTGTACACATCAGATTTTTAAATTCTGTTTCAATGGAACCCATTTTTAAAATTTCAAACTATATGAGTACCGACGTAAGATTGGATTATGACTTTCTATGAAGTCCTTCAATATTTAAATTCAAAAGAAAATGGCAATTTCAAATTTCGGATTGCTGTTCTGTTTTAATTCCATTAGAAACTGCGCAGCATTTTAAAAAAATACTTCATTTATAAACAAAACTATTAATAAATTGTTTCATATTTTTTCTTCTTTTTTTAAAGACCGAAATTTTATTATTAGAAGTAAATAACGAATAACTTTAACTTTTACTTTACGAATAACTTTAACTTTTAAACTTTTCACGCTATTATAATTTTCCAAATTTTGAAGCCAGAATTTTGCCCTTAAAATTAAAAGTACCTTTTTTAAAATACTAATAGAAACTAAATATATTAGAATCCTATTTATCCGAATGAATCGGAGCTAAGCTACTTCGGATAACCCGTTATTTTATATTTTATTAAATTTATTAATATATTTTATATGTTCTATTTTATAAAACATAGAAATAGCTCATTTTTGAAAACTTCATTTTGATTGGGGGTGGTTTGATTGGATGATGGATCCGCACGGAATAGCCAAATTCATCTGAGATGTGCTGCAAGAAATTTTGTATATAATTGCCTAAAATGTTTTATCCTTCCGTTTCTGATAGCTTAAGGAAAAGTATCAAGTAAAAGCAAATTTTAATTTGCATTGTTTTCTAATGAGGATAGGTATTTAGGCGCTAAAACATTAAATTACTACAGTTTGGATATGTTAGTATGGGAACTTCAAGGACATTTCTTCGCCCCAGACCATTACTCATAACCATATAGCAACCACTGTTGCAGAAAAAAAAAAGGTCGAATCTTCTAATTTGCTAAAGTCTTCTAATTCCCTCTATGCGGGGATGACGACAAACATTACGATTGTAAATACGGAGACGGTTGCTATGATCTAGTGCTTATTTCAAAGTTACAGACTATACTTTTCCACACACGTATTTAAGTTGTAAATTTGTAAACTATTTTTGAAGAATGCGAAAATATGTAAATTTTCCTTAAAAATTTGAAAATGTTTGATCTTCGGCTTTACCGAGTCAATACTAGTTTACATAAGATTTTTGGTTATGTAAGCTATATTTTAAAGTTAAGGTTAAGCAATATTTTGATGAAGCAGGATTTTAATGTATTTACATTTATGCATATACACTTAATACTATAGGATGTTATCTCGATTTAAAAATTTTGTAATAATACTAACTCTTTGCTCCTTTGCAATAATCTGCGTATGAAATCCTTTCCTTGGTCAGAAATGTTAGCAAAGGCATCTTCATCGAAATCCCAGTCACATGCTCGTACGTTCTTTAGCGTTTCAATGTCGTTTACTCCGGCGAAAGGAGACAAACCGCTCAGTCTGTAAAGGAAAAAAGAATTTAATAATGCAACTACTATTCACTTACTGCAATGCGAAAATTCAAGAAGTGACGCCACGAAGATGATTCTTAACAAAATGACGACTGCGATGTGTGCTTTAAAATGCCTATTTTATTTATTTTTTTAACTCTATATAATATAAATGCGAGAAAAACATATAGAAAATATAGGAATCAAAATATTCAGATTTCATTCTTTCTTTAAGTGAGTTTTACTGTTGTTAATAATAATTAATCTTTAATAAAATTAAAAAATCATAAAACAAAATTTCAAATTTAAATTTCTGCAGAAATGCAAGATTTTGAAGCTTTGATGGAATTTCATAGCTTATAGAAAGATTATAAAATGTTTTAAATATTTGACTTGAATGAATTTCTATTTTATGTTTACATTTTCTACCGTAAATCGATCTTTTATACAGGCGTACGAAATGTGTGGCCACAGGTTTCATTTTATGAAATATTTATTAAATTTGTACACTTGGGGTTTCAAAAGCTTCTCAAATAAGCTAAAACATTTTATGAAAAAACAGTTACAATATATAAATATAATATATAAAAATCTAACTTTTAGTGTGGTTTCCGTAAAAATTGTAATTGGTAGAAGATTTAACATGCTTTTTTCAACAGCAAAGAGAAGTTAGCTACACAACGTGGAACCTCCTTGAAATTTTACATGCAAAATTCGCCAAAATATGCACATTTAATAGTTCTACGAGATCAACTACAAATTTAATAACGGTTGTTATTTGTCTGTGTACAGAATCATTAAATAGCTGACGAGAAAATTTCGCTTTGTATTTCATACTTAAAATATGGTACAGAATTCTCGAATATTGCTCGGTAATAGGCACTGAAAGTCATGTTATATAAGTAAATTTGTTCAAGGATATCTCTGCGAAATCTGAATGTAAAAGTATAGAACCTTTTGTATTCAACTTATTAAAAAGTATGGTAAATATATTAATGGCCAGAATTTTTGACATACAAATGTGTTGTAAATTAAACTTTCTGCTTATAGAACTCTCTGATCTACAGTGTTGAAACTGTAAAGAAGATTATTCTAGATTTCAGTGTAAAACTAAGAAAAACAAGTTTTAAATGTGAGCTTTCATAACAATATTCTTTTATAAAAAATACAAGCACGGATTTTCATTTTATCATACATTTTCTATTTTAGGAATTTAGAAGTGTGTATAAATAAATAAACACAAATACAATTATTATTATTATTATTATTATTATTATTATTATTATTATTAAGAATGAGTCTTAATGGCTTAATTGCATTTTGAGCTTGGGAATGACTGGGAATTGAGTATGCAGTGATTAATAGAACATTTTTCCGCTGAATAAAATATAGCTTACGTAAATTTCAATTAAAATTAGTTTTGATTAATTTTGCTAAATGTGCTAATATAGGGTGAAACTTAAGTGTAAATGATCAGTATGAAGATTATAGGAACTAATCAACTCAAACTATCTGTAGTTAACAATCTGTAGTTAACAATAATTTGCTGATAATTTACTTTGAAAAACATATAATATAGTCTTTAACGAATATTTATAAAAAAACTTGATCAAAAAGAAGCTTTTCCAAGACATTTCTTCAGACATCTTGCGGACACTGGAATAAATTATCATACAGACGATCTTAATGAAATATAAAAAAAAATCACTTATAATGATAACATTGTAAATATGTAAATAATTTATCAGATGTTATTTTATTCAGTAGGGAAAAGAAACTCATTCTGTATTTCTTTAACAGAGGAAATAATTTTAAAATCTTCGGAAAATTATCCTCACCAAAGTTAAGTAATTTAAAAGTGCGCTTAATGTGATAATGTGTGTAGGCACTGCTCAAGGTGATCACATTTTCGCAACTATTTTTGTAACATTAAAAGACGAGAAAAAATATCCTTCAAAATAGGAATGAAATTTAATTAATTTAATATAAATATAATTAGAAACATATAAGAAGGAACTTTCACAGCATTTTAATTAGGAAAACAAAAACAAAAACAACAAAAAAAAAAAAAAAATCCTGAACTCTTTCTAAAGTATTTAATGTTCAGTGCGTAAATTCAGCGGATAAGCTCATTTATGAACAATTCATAATGCTTCAGAAAATTATTTGACGGACGCTGTACCTCTAATCTTAAAACTTCGAAGTCATTTCACACTTAATAGTATCTGTCAATTTAAAATTCGAAATCAGGAAAAAAAAAAAAAAAAAAAAAAAATGCAAGTTTGGTGATGATGTTTTCGGATGGAAAAAGAGTCTGCAGCCCTTCCCCCCCCTGAAGAAGAGAGACCTGTGTCTGATACCCTCAAATTCTATTGAGTTACTGAAAATGTAAGTGAAACTAAGTTTGTAAACTTATGTTGACTATAATGGAAACTAAGATGTTTGGCAACTTAATCCCTTATTTGGCTACACTTTTCTGTAACTCGGAAATTTTTGTAATGCATTTCAAACTTATTTGGAGACTTTATCTTTTATTTTGCAACTTTACTTCAGTTTAAGAACTTATTATGTAATATTTGGATCATACCAAACTAATTATTGGTCCTAATAAGCGATGTACTTTTCATGTTTTTATATACAAACGGGTTGAACTTCGGTAATTCAATAACAAGCTTCCAGCTGTTAACATTAACTACGATCACATTAAACGGCGTCTACTGTAGTATAATAAGATCTGAAAACAGTACTTACAAGACGTAAGCTAATACGCCAACAGCCCACATATCTGTGTAAAAGCCAACTGGTTCTCGTTCTACGATTTCTGGTGCAGCAAATTCAGCAGTTCCTGTCGAAATCTTAACCGGTTCGTTAGGGTCCAACTTCGTAGCCAATCCAAAATCGATAACTTTGATATTGGTGCTATTTTTTGTCTGACACATGATATTTTCTGGCTGTAAGTGGAAATCGATATATTGTAAAAATTATATAATATTAGGGCTAATATATTGTAAAAATTAATACTTGCCTCAAATAAGAGGTTAATTTCAGAATAATGTTTTATTCAATACAGCTTTACATCGAGAGATTAATTTAAACACATGTCAAGCATATCAATGAGTAACTAGAAATTTTATTCAAATTTTAAAACGTATGGCATATTAGCTGTAAAAAGCTACGTACCTTAAGATCAAGATGAATGATGTTCTTCTCATGCATGTGTTTCACAGCTTCACATATTTGCCTCATGTAATTTATGACCTCAGCCTCAGACATTGTATAGCCGTCGGATGTTATGCGCTCAAACAGTTCACCACCAGACATGCTGAAGGAAACACGAATTATTTTATGATTCCGAGACCTTCATTTTATGATTCAGAGACACTTAATGATTTTCAAAATGTGTATATTTTTTTAATAAAAATAAATTAGGAATAATATTGGATACTTTTTAAATGAAATAATTCAAAACAACACAAAGCATCACAGCAAAGCATATATAATATCTCAATTTCTGAATTTAAAACTACATAAAATACTTACAATTCGTAGATGAGGATCATTTCGTCATCTTCCTCAAATGCATCATGCAACCGGATGAGTTTTGGATGATGGAGTTGGTTCATGATATCAATTTCTCTCTTAATCATGGTTTTCTCCAATGGATGAGACACGGGAATGAATTTCGCCGCAAATACGTGACCAGAAGATCGCTCCCTACATCGATGAACAACGCCGAAAGCTCCTCTGTACACAGAAATCAATTAAAAAAATATTTTCACTAGTTACAAACAAACATATAGCAAACAAGTAAAAAAAAAAAAAAAAAAAACTTTAATTTTTTGTTACTAACAAATAACTTCTTATCACTTTTATATATGAAATTATTTCTAAATAAATCATCATTTACTTATTCGATTTAGTTTTACTTGAGTGATATACAGGGCAATCATAAAAAAGCTTTCCGATATGGAGCCCCTAACGGCCTGTACGCACGACCAATAGAAATGAAATTCCAGATATTGTTATTTGAAGGCATGTGTTCCAGATTGTGATTATGTAATCAATAGAGCTCTCACGGTTCCTATTACCGGGAAAAATTTCTAAATTTTGGAATGACAACACCCACTTTTTTCTTACGCAAACTGATCAGTGAATTCAAAGGCCATAAATGGCGTTGAAATGATAGGCGTATGACGAAAACTGTCGACATTAAACATTTGGAAAGTAAAGCATTGTGAATGACCAATGGCAACAGGAGAGAGGACAAGGGAAAAAACTTCTATTGGAATTTCAAGCTTTCAGTGTGTACAACGTTTCAAGACAGAGACATTTCCCGTAAATATGCAGTTTTGTGGCCACCACGATCCCCCGCCTTCATTCTAACGGATTTCTGGTTTTGGGGTTATCTGAAATCTCAGGCGTACGCATCAAATCCACAAGATTTGCTAAAATTAAAAGATGCCAAAAAACAAGAAGTTATACAGATTCCTCCTGCGAATTTGAGTTCGTCATTGATGTGGAGAATCTCCCGCATGCGTTATCGTCTATCCCGCGTCTACGAAAAAAAACGTTGGGAACGTTGGAAGGGCACGTTGAAAAGTTCTAATTTCAATAAAAGGTTTTTTTCCCTCTCCTCTCTGTGTTGTCACAGGTTCTTTACAATGCTCTTCTTCGCAAATGTTTTACGTGGGCAACTTTCGTCATACGTGTATCGTTCCAACAGCATTTATGGTTTTTAATGCGCTGATCAATTTGAGTAGCAAAAATGTTGGTGTTGCGATTCAAAAATTTCGAAATATTTTCATTGTAACCATAACAGTGAGAGCTCTATTGTTTGAAATCATCATAATCTAGAGCGTATACTTTCAGATAACAATACTTGAAATTTCATTCCGATTGGTTGAGCGGATAGGCCGCTAGGGGTTCATATATCGGGGAAATATTTTTATGATCACCCTATGTGCAAGAATAAAATTAATACATTCAAAGAGAAAGATGCTATTGCAATGGCAAATAGTAATCAAACGTATTATACTTACACTCCGATTTCCTCAAGGATGTCATAGTAATCGTAGATATTGGATGTCTTGATGCCAACAGGCTGGGGAATGTATTTTGAATCAATATCGAACACTGCAAAAAAATATCCAAATGAACTTACTAAAAACAAATAAAATTCGGCAGTCTTCAGAGCAAAAATTTAGATAATTTTCTCAGTTAAATTTTGTAATCTAAAAGGTTTAGGTTGGAAAAATATATCCCGTATTAATAATCTATGTAATCATCTAGTTTTCAGCAGTGAATGAATTTCATATTTGTTCAGATATAATGTTCATTATGGTACTAATATTCATAAAATATTAGTAAATTATTATAAAAGGCATAAAAAAATTCGTTTAGATGGGATGTAAAGATTCATTCCCCCATCGAAAGCATTCAAAAGAGGTTTTACAATTATTTCACACATAATTCAAATTAGTATTAAAATATACGCATTCAATTATGGCAATGCACAAGAGGGCAGATAGCCCTCGTGTGCTTTGCCATAATTGAATAATCCAATCCAATCCATTACACTTTTTATCTAAGTATTTTAAAAGATTCGTTACAATTAGTGCTTTTGTAAAAACTTTAGAAAATATCATTTGATTCACAAGACACTGAAAAATTAAAGAATTTATGAATTATCAAGAAAATTTTTATTTGTAATAATACATTCATGCTTCATTTAATTAACGATAAAAGATGATTTCAAATTTTGATTGATTCGCTGCTTCAATTAAATTTTATTCTAAATTTTAAGCTTCTGAATATGTGAAGTTATGATTATAAACTGAGCGACCAAAAATTATACGGTAAAAGTTTAGTTGTTCGGAGTCCATTGTAGTGAACTATAATAAGGGGCATAATACTATGATTCTGTAAGAGAATCAATTCTGTAAGAGTTCAATTCACAAACTCTGTAGAGTGGACTATAGTTGAATCATATTGGAATCTCTGGTTTCACCAGTTTAAGCGTTTTGCCACCACATTCCATTAATGGTACTAGGACCTTACATGACAGGAATAAATCACGACGTTAAAGGCAATGGAAACTCACTTGAGAAGTATGCTGGCAATTTAAGACTAATAACTAGTTGTATTATGTTGTCGCAATATCCTTTCATTATCAGGGTGTTCCATATTCGTAAAGAGAGGCAAGTTATCTGCAAAAATATCTTCGCAGCCTCCTATCTGTCAACCACTACTTCAAATGGATATACAAGTTTAGCGAAAATCACAGACTGCACTTATAGCTTAAATAACACTTTGCAGACAGAAAGGTTTCATGACTTCTGTCTGCAAAGTGAGCTTGCTTCACACTTTCTGTATCCATCAGCCCAACATAAAAGGAAACATTAACAACATTGTTTAAATCGGACTAATTTAACTGTCTCTACTTATACTATTGATGTAGAGACCAGAGTAATTTTACTGTTTTAATCCGATTTCTTAAACCTTATTCCAGCCTTTGGGCTCTCAAACGATAAGCAAATTGTGTAAGCAACGAGACACGATACCTTTTTGGTTAAGAAATCTTACGAAGCATAATAATGACTAGAAATGCGCATGGAAACTTCATGTGTTTGGTTTACATTGAATTTTATACGAATTTTAAGCACTTCAGCACGCCTGCTCGTTGCTTTGTTCGCGAAAACAAACGAAAGCGTCTATATTAATGGCATGTGTCCAGTTCTTTCTTTCAATTAAGTGTATGAAAATATCTCTGTACACTACTCATGATAAATGTTTGACGCTGTAGCTCTGAAAAAACAGTAAGTGTTCCAGTGCTCTATGACTCATTCTTGCGGCACAGACTATTATGCCGCATTCAAAATCAATCATTTAACGATGTTTACAAGTAAAGAAAGTTAGATCTATTCTAACGAATTTTAAACTTTTACTGCATTATAGCATGAGAAATAAATGGGAATAAAGCGTAGCATTAATATCTAATAGAATTAACCTTTTTTACGCAATCCCTTAAAATTTAAATTTAAAATCGTAAATGATTTTAATGATTAATTTTCATGCACAGTATGCTTAATTTGCGGAATACTCATAAGTAAACTGAAATAATACTTCCATCATGAAAAGTTATCTTACCAAACTGGTCATAATTGGTTATAGTTCCTTCAGATCTTCCACGTATTTTCCTTCCTTGTGCGTCGACTAAAAATGAAATTATAAAAATTAAAATGAAATCCTCACACTAGCTCGGAGTGCAAAGTTTACTTTCAGTTAATTAAATTTTATTAAAAAAATTATAATAATTTACCTTGCTTTCGCTGCGCCTTCTCTTTCTTTGATGCTGCAATTAGGAAAAAAAATGAATAATTTAGTGTCTATTTCAGATATATATATATAACTTCATTAATTACTTTCAAAGGAGGTTTTATAGGGAATATGTATAGAGCATTAATTAATTTGCAGTGTTTTCGGATCACATGTAGAGTATAACGCAACAAATTTAAATACAGAAATATTAAACTAGTCCTGAAAGAAGTAAACTAGAAAGAACCAGAAAACTATTTAACTAGTTTTAAAACAGAAATATTAAACAAAAGCGGAAGGAAGTTTTACATATTTTCCTAAATTAGTGTGTTATATAAGTTAACATTTTTATTTCCACTCTTTTCTTTAAGAAGAAAAAAATTAGTTCAGTTTAAATATCTGAATAAAACCAATAAATAAATCATAACCAATAAATAAATCATTGGTTTAGATAACTAATGAAAATGCCAGATACCATTAACTGCGTAGCTAATTAAAATCCCTACTATTTAAGCCATCCATGCTTACATTACTGATGACGGCCAGGCGAATTCAACAAACATAATAGAATATAATATTTTAGCAAAAGTAATGCATAAAAGATTATAGGTAATGGTATTATAGCTCCTTTTAGTTTCTGTACTTATAAATGAATGAAGTTGTGAATATTATTAACTTATGAATATGGTCTGAAGAATTTTATAAAAGGAATTCCCAAATTAGAATCAAGTTAATTTGCAGCTGCCATGCTTTAATTTTAATGAAGACCTGAGATTACGGCCATTAATAAATACTTTGCTGTCAACGGAAAGAAGCATATACGCAGTGCATCTACAAGGTTTTAGGATTACAAATGCTAATTAGTGAATGTGATTACCAAAGCATCTCAACACAATTTCGCTTAAAACACTTTCTACTTAGATAAACAACTTTAAAATAATTTTTTGTTTAACTTTATGCTGTTAATATACACTGTTAAGGATTTAAAGATTGCATTTTAGAAACAGTAGCGTTTTGTTAAAGAAGTCAACTATCTGTCTTTCATCAGTTGTTTTTAATAGAAAGTGTGATTATTATTCCACAGGGTGAACGTTTGCGAGAAAACTGCCATTCCCGGATGAGAAATTTCATCTTAAAAGCGTCTTTTGAGACCATCGTTTTCAGAAACGCAACGAGAGGATGAAACAAAGTTCCAACAATGAATTTTATGAAATTATAGAGAAGCTCTGGAAAAGCCGTTAGAAGAAACGTAAGTTAGAAGGATAGAAAGTAAACATTTTTGTTTTTCTCACAATCTCGAATTGCTATGAATGTCCTAGAACTTTGTAGATGCATTATGTATGCAACTGGTAAACTTCCCAGCAAAAGGAGATTTATTACACACTAGAATACAGCTATCTGTAAGCGTATTTAAAAGAATTTCAAATAAATTCAAAAGCTTACGTTGCGTCATTATTGGTGCTGTTGACTCGCTTGGATCGCTTCTACCAAATAAATTCTCAGCGTAAACTCTGAACCGATATTCTTTATTTGGATTCAATCCAGTAACTTGGTGGAGTGTTAACCTTTCAACAAAATCAATATATTACATTTACATTCAACTGCACAGAATATAATTAAATACATTTAGAAACACTAAGATCTATGCAATTAAGCAATGCAACAACCTCACATTCGGTATAGATTTTTAACCTATTAAAAGCAGCTATTCAACAAAACTTGGTGTACCTAGTATTTCCGCAACGAATCCAGCTAGTCATGGGAGTCTCTTGTTTTTCAATGAGGTAGTTATGAATATGAGATCCACCATCCCATGCTGGAGCTGTCCAGGTGAGTGTCACTGAATCTTCCGTTGCCCGATCAGCTTTAGGATTCCTTGGTTTATCAGGACGATCTAAAGGAAGAAGTGTAAAGTTATACCATTTCATGCCATTGAAAATATATAAGCATACGGAAATTTTCATAAGCGTATGGAATATATAAGCATTTTCGTTCACAGTAAATTACATATGAAATAATTGAAATCGAAATTGTGTTGCTGAGAAAAATATATTGTATATTATTTTATTGGATAAAATGAGCTTACCTATCAATCACTTACCACTAATTTTGATTTTAATGATGGCAGAATCCACTCCAAGCTCGTTTGAAGCCTCCAGACGATAGGGTCCATTGTCGTCGCTGCTCACATCGCGAATGATGAGTACAGCATGCCTTTCAGATGTAATGACGTCATAATGATGGCCTTTCTCTATTTCTTCTTCGTTTCTAGTCCACTTAATCTTAGGTTTGGGATATCCAGTAAATGGTATCTTTAGAGTTATATTTTCACCTTTCTCAAACTGAGCCGTATCGCGGAATCTTGGAGGCACGTTAATATGAGGCGGACCTGAAATATTACCATATTTTATTCTCCGTTAACAGAAGTTTACTTTTAAATTAAAATGAAATAACTCAGTTGTTATTAGGTAACACAGAAAGTCGAAGAGTTACGCGTTTAACATATTTAAATAAAATACAATTAGAAACAGGTTATTATAGAATAAACTTTTGTTTAAAATGTATACGATAATTAATGGGCTAAAAGGAGAAAAATAATTTATCATATTGTTTAATGGGAAAAGTAGATTAAATAATTTTATTTGCAGAATTTTATATTGCGAATAATAAAAGAGCGGAGCACCTAAATAACGAAATATGAATGTAATTGCAATGTCAAATGTATAACCCATTATCTTTTTTAATTTTCTCTTAATTTGTCAAATGCATCAGACATTATCTTATAAAATTTATTATGGGCACTCCAGGCTTTTATTATTCACGATATAAAATTAAGATTAATTCTGTAAATAGATTTATTAAATCTAATTATTCCCACTAAACTATTCGATAAATTATTTGCACCTTTTAGTTCATCAGTTATCATCTCCATTTTAAATAAAAGGTTACTGTATAAAAGTCTTTTTTATTTTATTTTACTTACTTTTTTTTACTGCTAATTAAACGTTATCAATAAAAAAAAAAGCTCATAAAAATATCGCCAATTTGCCATTAAGTGTGCCAAGATTGTAAACTTCTTCATTAAGTTTGCGAAGATGGCAAACTCAATTTTTCTGTGTGAAATTCTAAAATGCTTCCTCCCGTATGCTTACGTCTACAACACATTTAAAAATATATAAAACCTCCGATTAATATTTTTTAATCAGACATATTTTAAAAGAGAGCGAAAATTTTGCTTTATAATCTGTGAAAATTTCAAAACTTTATATCCGATAAATTTTTAGATGCCGAAATTTTAAAATCATAAAAGGTCAAGTAGTCTAAAATATACAGCAACTTTCAAAAATTTGTCCAAAATTCAGAAATTAAGTTATAGTTTTCATATAATTTTTATTCAAAAAAATTCTTTTCCGCTCTATTCGATGGTGCAAACAGTAAAATTCTGATATGTTAAGTTTGTTCCTTAAACAAAGATATTTTAAAAAATTCTTTAAACATTGAATAATAAAAATCTTAATCGAATTTTGAAAATATCGCTTCACATTGCATTGTCATCGACAAGCAATGTGTGTACAGAATGTAAACGCTGTAGGTTATTAGAAAGTAGGTTAAAAATCGATGACAAAATTCCACTCACAGTAAAACCCCATGAGTGAACTAAATAAAAGTTAGTAAAATATTATTATTCTGTGCAACAGAGACTGAATGTCAGAAACAGTTGCATCTTTTACTGCACATAAAAACAGGTGAACATAATTCATTCAAAATGATTGAAAAACCTAATTATGCATTTCTTCTTAATTGCGATAATGCTATAATTTTAATTCTATTTACACTTTTATAAAAATATTACCCATTAGGTGTAAATATAACATTAGACCACCATTTGCACTTATTTTGTTCCATCTTGATAAACTGAATGGATAAAGAACTAAAATATTTTATATATAATATATAATAAACAATATATAATATCTTATGATGTGCACGGTAAAATGATAGCACTATATATTATCGTAACATCAAATACGAAAAAAATTAGAACTCACGCATAATTAATAGTTCAGCCCTAGATGTTCGAACACCTCCTCTATTAGAAGCTCTGCAGCTGTATTCATCTGCGTCTTCCCCAAATACTTCATTGATACTCAACGTGTATGTGTCTCCTTCCTTTAGCAACGTGTATTTTCCGCTACCTTCAAAGATTTCACGAACACCTTTGTACCTGTTATATAATAACAAATTAATTAAAACGATATTAAGGTATACTTGTTAAGCATTTGTTACAGTTAAGGGGATATCAGCTGTATTTATGCTTTATCTATCACTGTAACACTTGGCAAATAATCATTTTTTAAAAGAAATTCAGCGAAGTTGTGAAGTGTTTCACAGCGCCCTTCTTTTAAGACGATTAGTTCAGAATTAATAACTGCTTGAAATATGGAGTTATATTTTTAAATGATTACCGTTAAAATAAATGCTTCTCCATTTTAAAACATGCATTTCTAATTTTATAGCTGTAGAGGATTAGGTTTTTTTTGGGGAGGGGGAAGAAGAAGGCAAGATGAAAAACATGCAAAACATTCGCCGGGAATCGAACCGCGAACCTCTCAATTACGCGCTGAGCGTGCAGACCAATACACCTTGTAGGCTCGCTAAGAAGGCGGAAGAAACACCTTATATATCATAATAGTTAAATAATTAGATTTAATATATGCGATTTGTAATAAAACAGATATTAACTAAAATTATTAAATTTCCATATGGAAATGAGGCTGAAGTTATTAATAATGAAATATGACTGAAAAATGTTTTCTTATTCCTATATTTTTCTAAATATTCTGACAATTTTTGTTTCTAACGAGTATTGGCTAAAACCTTGTATCTTGCATAGATTTAAAAAAAATATTTCACGAATTAAAGGTGATCGTATAAACCCTGTATTCGCGTCATTCAGTTCTGATGATAGAAAAATTCAGACGAATCATACGTGTTACGCTAACAATGCATATGCCATTTTAATGCCTGTTATGAATTAATGCAGCTCATCGCTGGGAGGCGTCCTTGCTATTCAGCTCCACAAAATTCGTTAGAACTTTCATTACGGAGGACTGAAACGTAAAAAGGAAGGCGGAGCCCTAATTGAATCTTACATTTTATTCGTGTTTGTAATTGGTTCGCAGTTGTGTATTTGATGAATATGAGCCGAGAGATAAAGTTTTGCTGCCCAACTTCAACAAAATTCGTTAGAACTTTCATTACGGAGGACTGAAACGTAAAAAGGAAGGCGGAGCCCTAATTGAATCTTACATTTTATTCGTGTTTGTAATTGGTTCGCAGTTGTGTATTTGATGAATATGAGCCGAGAGATAAAGTTTTGCTGCCCAACTTCAACAAAATTCGTTAGAACTTTCATTACGGAGGACTGAAACGTAAAAAGGAAGGCGGAGCCCTAATTGAATCTTACATTTTATTCGTGTTTGTAATTGGTTCGCAGTTGTGTATTTGATGAATATGAGCCGAGAGAGATAAAGTTTTTGGCTGCCCAACTTCAACAAAATTCGTTAGAACTTTCATTACGGAGGACTGAAACGTAAAAAGGAAGGCGGAGCCCTAATTGAATCTTACATTTTATTCGTGTTTGTAATTGGTTCGCAGTTGTGTATTTGATGAATATGAGCCGAGAGATAAAGTTTTGCTGCCCAACTTCAACAAAATTCGTTAGAACTTTCATTACGGAGGACTGAAACGTAAAAAGGAAGGCGGAGCCCTAATTGAATCTTACATTTTATTCGTGTTTGTAATTGGTTCGCAGTTGTGTATTTGATGAATATGAGCCGAGAGATAAAGTTTTGCTGCCCAACTTCAACAAAATTCGTTAGAACTTTCATTACGGAGGACTGAAACGTACGTAAAAAGGAAGGCGGAGCCCTAATTGAATCTTACAATTCTTAACATTTTGAATTCGTTTGTTGTAATTGGTTCGCAGTTGTGTATTTGATGAATATGAGCCGAGAGATAAAGTTTTGCTGCCCAACTTCAACAAAATTCTTTAGAACTTTCATTACGGAGGACTGAAACGTAAAAAGGAAGGCGGAGCCCTAATTGAATCTTACATTTTATTCGTGTTTGTAATTGGTTCGCAGTTGTGTATTTGATGAATATGAGCCGAGAGATAAAGTTTTGCTGCCCAACTTCAACAAAATTAAACACCCATCTCTAAACAAGCCAAATTTAAAATCTTTCTATAAATACAACTATATGTAGCTCCATTCGTCGTCTGGTTGGCTTAGCTTAATCTGTTAGATAAGCTGAAGTGAGGGCTATTTCATCTTTCGGCTTCCATTTCGAAAATTATGTACAGCAGCATTGCAGAGTGAAAGCGCCGTTTTAAGGGCAGTAGTTTCTCTTTCTCAATTCTCCCAACCCTCAATTGAACCCAGATTCAACCCTCAATTCAATTCTCAATTCAACCCGAATATATATAAAGAAATATTAGATTAATTTTATTTAGCTCAGTTGTGATGCTATGTAATACCTTATTCTCATAATTTCCAAAAAGACATTAGCTACTTATAATTTATTACATTTGCATGCATGTTTCATTGTTTGATTCAATGAAGACTGCAAAAAAAGTGGAAGTCATTAACATGTTTCATATAATTAATGATTTACATACCATGTGATATTTGGTTTGGGATTTCCAACTACAGTACAAGTAAATTGTGCATTCTTGTTCTCAAGACACGTCACAGTCTTCAAAGGCATCATGAATTCTGGAGCAACAGGAGCTGAAAAAGAAGTACTTGTTTTTTAACAACGAGTTTCACGTAGGGAAGAGGAAAACTTATATCACTTTATTTATTTTTTAAAGTACGGTGCATTTTTCCACATTTGTATATATATTTCCAATAGAAAGGTGACCACTGTGACGTCAGCATACCGGCCGAAAAACCCCACTGTTGTAATTGTTTATGACAGTGGTCAAGAGCTTGTGGCTCTTGAATCAATATTATGCGGCCCGCTAATATATTTTCTCCAAATTAATTAGGATTTTGAGGATATTATTTATTGCAGCTAAATTGTGAATGAATGTTTAAGACTATAACGACATAATGTCCAGTTTTACATTATTTTCATTATCATTAAAAACGAATGTGAGTAATGCTCCAGAAAATCTAAAAACGGAGTTAATGCCAAATACTTCAACCGTCGAAGATAGAGTAGACGAGACTGTAAAAAATTCTAACAATTAATGGTCGAGCACTGACCCTATGACGAAAGATACTCATAATTGTTCAGATTATTCAGAGTTTATGAGTCAGAAAGCGGAGATTTTTGGTTAGGTTATTAATTTAAGACAAGAGTACACGATCGCCATCTGACTAAGGAAAGGATATCTTCGCGAAAGACTTCCTAAGATAAACTGGCTCGTATTCATCATACTGCGTATCAGGAGGAACACTTAACTTCTTGCAGCGAGTCTATGCAGGGAGATTTGAACTCGGATCGAATTACCACTGTAGATGTCTTATACAATGATTACATATGATAGCCTACGTGAGACATTTCTAGAAATTCCAGTATCTCGGCCTCACATGCTCACATCAACATGAATTCTAAGTTCCTGAAACTTTTAAGAGTAGCTAAGGTTTGTTAAATTGCGAAATTCTATACCCTCGAATCTTTCAGAGTTACTTACTACCGGAAAACTCTTGTATATATAAAATGTCTTGCTCTAAAAGAGAGCTGGGCAAAGATTTGACCAAACGGCCATATCGGAATTAAGAAAACGATGGGACGAAAATAAAACAGTAGTTTTAGATATAAACATAATGGAGAAAAATGAGTTCTATCATAATAATTAAATTTATAAAACAACCAACAATTTAATGCAACAAATGATGCTGTTTTATATCTTTCACTTAATTTCAGAGGTAATTTTAGGTTTAATTTTGTAGTGATGATTTTGAAACTGCTTGTAAAGAATTATCAGTAATGTTTAATTTTAACACGTTTTTATTGAGTTCGTAATAGAAAATGTCTGTTCATTTATATGGGTTGATCTAAAAATAACCAACATATTCCAACAAAATCATTAAGCTAGTCAATATTCTTCGAATTAAGAATATCATAAAATTCTCAGATAATCTAAAGTTGTGGTTGACACTAATTCAGAAGTCAAACAACAAAAATCAGCGTTATATTTTCAAACTTTTCAGCAGGACTAGTTTCGATGGTTTTGCCGAACCACCATCCTCAGCTGCAAGACCGCAAATGAACAAAATAGGTATTTCTGTCTCTCATAGGAATCCACTAGTGAGAGAAATTTAACCTTTTTTGTTAGCATGTTTGACAAAAGTTTAGGTTAGTTACGTTTTTTCTTCGTTTGTATGTAGGAAATCTTAAGTTAGGCCGTAGAGCTCATTCCTTTTATTTTTAGTCACAGAATATAAAATGAAACAGTGTACAAGAACAGCTGCTAAATATGTGTTGTCATTCAATGTTTTTATGTGATATACTTCGTATTGTAAAAATACCGCAAAATAAAAATGTGTCTCATCTAACACAAGAAAATCGTTTTTACAGATAAAACACCACCACTACGAGGTATTTATCATGCCCTATTAACACCATTTCTTAACAGTAATTGACGATTGATTGCAGGGATAAGATCTCAGTTTTTTAAAAATCACCAGATCTTGATAATGATAAACAATTTACGATATATAATATTTTATCTTGATTTGACTAAAATTAAATACTATAAAAATAGTTCAC